ACTCCATTTATAAAAACCCTCTGCTTTGTTACATCTAGTCAATTTTCTATCCAATGAACCAACTTATCCCCCACACTTAAAGAGATATTTTTTTTTTAAGAAGCCTTTTATATGGCACTTTATCAAATGCTTTCTGAACATACAAATACACAAAATCCACACCTGTACTCTCATCTACTTCTTCAAAAAAAGGGAAAAATATCTAATAATTACAAGGGTGTATTTTGTAAATACTCCTAACCTAATACCCACTTTAACACTTGCTGGCTCCTAAAAATATTTTGTTTGTCACTCACTAGAAAATAAAAGGTTTAAACTAAACCTAAACTATAGGATGATGGGTTTTTACTGGATATTTCTTGCTCAATAATAATAATCATAATAAAAATTGAAAGTCAGCTTTTTTGCAGATTCCCTTAGAAATTTTACTAGCTAGTTGTCAGATATATATATATATAAAACACACCAAGACCACTATCCTTCATGTAGTATCCCAGCAAGCTTGGTGTGCTCTGGTGTTGAGCTAAAGGTTTTATGGCACTGGATAAGACAGATGCAGTGTGGTTGACATCCTATAATATATTCTACTTTACATTCATTCATGGGTTCTTAGATTTTAATTTCCTGAAGCAGAACCCTCAGTAAAAAAAACGGATTAAAAAAAGATAACATTAAATTCAGCTTCTCACACGTTGCTGGAATCTGATTGGATTTACATAGCCATCTCTCTAAATACAGACAACAATAAAATCCCATCTAAACTGAGTGTTTAACAAGTGAATGTGACTTTAACTGATTTGTTACACAAAAAATATTTCTTGCTAAATAATGGATTAAAAGAATTCCAAGTTAAGCATCTTAATATAAACAAAAGTTTCTTTAGATAATTTATTTGCAAATTAAAATATATTACCTTTTGGGAAACATCTACAAGAAAACAGTAACTTTCAGTATTGTAATTGTTTGTCTTTTTTTTTTTAAGAGAGAACAAAAACTACAAAATGAGTAATTTATATAAAAGTTCTTAACTCATTGTCTGTCTGAAGGAACATACAGGTATCTATAATAATTGTACTTTATTGAATAGTAAACGTTTTGCCTGGTGATTGCTGGCTGGAGGAATATATCAAATTTTAAGCATATATTTGTACCGAAGTAAGTAATAGCTACTCACTGTTTACTGTTTTAATGAAAATGTTTAGCATATAACTTGTTTTTGTGTTAATACTTTGGTAAGGTTGCTGTCCATTATAGGATTTGTTTTATATGAAATTAAACACACAATAATCAAAACCATTTAGAAAAATTTTTTTCATTTTGCTAATAGCATTTGGCACTGTACAAAAGCTTAGAAATTACAAGAGATGGATACATATATTTAAATATATACACATCTGCTTGAAGCACCACATACAATATATATATATGAAAGAGATTAGAAACAGATTTCAAGTTTACATACCCAACCAGAAAACTTCCAAGTTGTGTAATAATTATAGATAGATATATATGAAAGATACATTTTTTAATTAACATCATATCTTGAAATGTTCTTTTAAAAATAATCTTGTATTTCTCATCAGCTTTAGTTCTATATATTTTGTACTGTGCAGAAAATTTAAATAGCTTTAAGAACATAATTTTCTGTCTTTAACAAATGTATGTCATATGTACTCAAGCTACAAAAGTTAAAAAAAAGGCAAAAATAATTTCTAAAGTTATAACAAAAAACTAAATATTTGATATATTTAACACTTATACAAGTTAACTATTTCAGTATAACTGAATAGCATACGTAAGTAGGGTACAAGCTGCTAATGACTTTACTATTACCAGTCAGTACAACCATACAGATCTAAATATTTCAACTGATGTAACAAGTAGTAAGAACAATACCAGTTTGATTAATATATGTAGCTGTAATATGTTTTTAAACATAGTTCATTAACATACTTGGATGTGTATGTATGTGCATGTGTATATATATAGAGAGAGAGAGTGTGTAACCTAGATTGACAAAAATTTCACGAAACCTGGTCATACTCCAAGTAAAGATTAAGGAAACTTACAAGTTTTGTTCTGCTTCATTTATATATATATATATACACATACATACACACACACATGCGATTATATATGTATCATACACATATACAAAACAGGTGTTATTTATTCAGCTCAAAACAAGCATGTAGTTTTTGTAAATGACATGTAGCCTCTCACTTTCATTGTGTATACTTTTAATATCATTACCTTTAAACTGCAGTACTCCTGTCCTATAAGTAACAGTTATCCCTTACCTTAACTACCCACTGAAACTTTGGTTCCAACACCTTTGATTAAGACAAGATTATCTTAGTAATTGTACATTCTGTCGTTTGCTATATTAACTGCTCAAGTGACAAGTTTACAATCTTTCAATCACACAGTATCAAGCAGAAAACTGAGAGAGATGAGCTACAAAATTGATGATGTAGTATTGATTACTATTCTCAGTAAATAAAGTTATATTATTCATGTCTATTTGCTTGTTTGTTGAATTTCACATAACACAGAAGAAGATAACCACTGATCCTCAACTCCATACTTTGGCACACTAACGAGTGGGGCACACCTGGCACTTATTCATAAATAACTTTAAGTATCATCAAAAAGAAACAAAAAAAAACAGTTGGCAAGATGGAAATACTGACATTATAAATGTAAATCTGACCTTAAAAAACATCTTGAATAGAAATATAAAAATAAGCATTATAATACAAAGATGATGTGTCAATTAGAATTACGCCTAAGAATTTAATTTTGAAGTTACAATTAAAAATGCCAAAAAAAAATACATCAATATACTATCGATCAGATAAAAACAGAAAACTTTAAACAATATCCTTGACAAAGTTTAAAATATTTTATTGGATTTATGTACAGCTAAAAGTAACAATAGCATGCAAAACTAAGTAAATTAAATGCTGTGCTAAATTAAATGCTAAATACTTTTCCATAAAGAATTGAGTTTCATACAATAAAATACAAATTTCTATTATAAGTAAAGTGCCTATACCCTTAAAGGTTTGGAAATCTGAAAAAGGTTTAGTATTAAGATTTCAATATTTCAACAGATTTCTACAGGTTCATGTATCTTTATGGTTTTCAGTAGCAGTCATCATTAACTTCTAATCAATCAAGGTTCCCACACAGACGATAATGAAAAAAAAGTACTTATTGGACAGAAATTTGGAGATTTGTATTTTTTTTTCATTTACATACTTCACAGAACATCTCTCTCTTAAAAACACTTTACACAACTTTGAATACTTAAAATTACACATTTTAAACAAATTTTAAAAAGATCATTGATACTCTCAACAGTATTGTAGAAAATATTTTTCATTAAAACCTTCTCACACTTAGAATAACCTGCTACATTCACCAATGACAAGTGTACAGATATAAAACGAACAATAAAAGTTTTCACCACTTTATGGTATGATCTCTCACATGAAAAATAACATGCGATCTTTATATTTATTCATAGCAGTATTCTACACTTCCAACATTTCTAGAATGATTCCCTGTTCATTTCTTGTATTTTCAGTGAAACCATGCAATATTACAATAATAAACTATACTACTTTATAGATAATTTATTTATTACTAAGACATAATGGCTTCATAAGAATATTGAGCCTATAAGTGATTTGACTTATCAACAGTTTTTAATAAAGACAACAGTGAAGTCAATAGTATTATAATTAATTCACTGATCTCTTGTTTACTGATGTTGAACTTATTAATATTTAGTTTATGCATAATATTTATAAGCTATGTAAACACAGAAGTACTGAAACCAAGAGTGACAGCTGTATTAAACTGATATTTTGCCCGAGTGTCTTCTTAAGCATAATTATAATGAGCACAAAAGTGGTTAAGGTTGCTTTCATTGTTTGTTTCCATTTTACACTAAACTTAATGTATGTAATTTAGTGAAAAAGATGTATGCATAATATAAAAATGTATACTGTAACACCATAGTTGATAGAAAAATAATTATCATATTGAGCAACGTTTGTAATTTGAAAGAAAAAGGTTACATAGTGGAAGATACTTATTTATTACATCTTGTCTCTTAATACCATGAAGATCAAGGATTATTACACAGATTAACATAAAAACCATTTTCTTTCAAGAATTATACATTATTAACTCAATCACCAATCCTTTCAAACATTATTACATTTAACCTTAAACATGGTACTTGTGTTTTGTTCAAGCAACTTCAGTTTCAAAAAGATTTATAAAATGGTCTATACACTTCTAATAATAAAAAAGGAACAAATGTTTTTTTTTGCAATTTCTTGATTTTTGATAAAATATGAAACTTAAAAAAAAAGACAGCTAATTACAAAGTTTTTCCTAATTTCCTGATGTTGGATAAAGTGTGAAATTTGGTGATCCAATCTTCATAAGAAAGAAAGTTACATAATATTTTTCCTAATTTCCTGATGTTGGATAACGTGGAAGACTTGGTGATCAAATCTTCATGTAAGGAAGAGAGAAGTTATGTAATAGTTTCCTAATGTTGGATAGCATGGAGACCTGGTGATTTAATTTGAATGTAGAGAAGTGACAATTTATATAATTGTTTTCCAAATGTACAATGCAGTAGGAAATTTGGTGTTCCAGTTTTCCATTAAGAAAGAGGGAAGTTATATAATAGTTTTGTAGCTTCATGATGTGAATAAAGTATGAGACCTGGTGGTCTAATCTGATTATAGTGAAGGAACAAATTATTTTAAATCATCTTAATACTACAATAATTTTATTGCATCAAAATGTACCTCTTTAGTATTATTTGTTTGTTTTGAATTTCGCACAAAGCTACATGA